AATTTAAAAAGTAAAATAAACAACAAAGGGTATAAACTTTCGATCGCTTTCTCCTAATTAAAATTTTAGGGCGGTATTTTTCAGATTACGGATCCCCTTTTCCCTGGTTTAAACAACAGTAGTCCAAAATCCAACGCCATGCGTTTTCATATCTAATTTCGTAATTCATAGCGTCGTTTGCACAAATTAATCAGCACATAAGTTTTGTTTATAAAAAGAAATATCGTTTACATAAATTTACAACATATCTATCGTTTGCGCAAATTACTCAGCGGATACGCTTCGCTTATATAAAAAGTATTGTTTGCACAAATTAGCTGGGTACTTGCAACTCGAGAAGAATACCACTACATGGCGTGTTAATATGTTACAGCTCTTAAGCTCGTCTTATTATCATGTCGAATCAATTTTCGAATCAGATTTAATTAGATGTCTGGAGACGTCACGCGTGTGAGTCCAACCTGATTGGCTTCTGAATCGTGACATAAGCATGTGCCTAATTAGCATATCCAATTCAAACCAAGTAGTATGCAATCAATGTAAAGGTTTTGTTTATATAATAAAAATATCGTATGCACATATTAATGAATACATTAGAGTATGATATCGTTTGCACAAAGCAATTACCATATAATATAGCTTACATTTATTAGCATATAAAATTAGTTTCTTCGAACAATTTGAGCTAGTATAAATTGATTCGAAAGCAGGTTTTAATTTTTTCACCATTAATGAATTGCAAAGAATTTCGAGTTTGTTTTTTTTAACTCCATTTAAAGAAAATCAATAAATAAATTTTTAAAAAATAAACTTTTGTATGCCGCGCAGACGAGAAAGGCTTATGACATATGTTCAGTAAACAAAACAAAAATTCAGTCAGATGAATATTTTCGTATTATCGTTAGAATTTTTTTTTTTGAAAGAAATTAAATAAAAAAAAATGAAAGTTGTCATTCGTTATAATTTAATTATGTCGATGAAATTGTATTAACATTTAATAGAAGCATTTCATATGCTGTTAGCATTTTATATAGTTTTTTTTTTTTTTAATTTCCCTTCGTTTGTTCAGTTTGCTTTGACCTAGATACTGAACACAAAACATGAGCCATTAAATGCGCGTCCTAATTTTCCTACTACGTTAATATAGTCCATCGCAATCCAAATTGATTAAGCATGATCCATATAAAATATCTTTTTACTGAAACTCAATTTATGTTTGATAGTTTTTTTTTTTAAAGATGACGTCAATGCAATAAAGTTGCGTGTTTTACATTTGACGATTTTTTTTTTATTTGTTTACAACAATTTTATTCACTCGGCTTCCTGTGTGTGAGGGGGCATTAGAGTACTGAAATACCCCTTATCTTTTAACAGTTGCTATCGTTTTATGATTTTTGCCATATTTTAATGTCAGAAGGTACTTAACGCCTTTCAAACTTCTAAAAATTTACCGACTAACAAAAGGGAATTATAAACTGGAATAAAAATTTGAATTTCGTTTGACACTAAAAGGAATACAATTATTTTATTTTTGTTAGACCTGTAGAATCATCTGAAATAAATTTTTGAAAAAAAGAAACGTCATCGTTTGAGGAATATATTTAACCCTTGTTAATTAAGGCAACGCTTAAGGAAACAGCATTGCGCTATATTCAAGCACAGCTTTTGTTAATCATTTTTTTAAAAAACCAATGATTGCTACGCGTAATCATGCTGTTGATAATAGCCCATCGTACAGCTCTAGTGCAACGTAAATAAAATACCCACCCAGGCTGTTGATTGATTATTTTGTTCTTCCACCTTTGTACTCAATTTTATTGGTTCCAGTTTTATTTTCAGATGTAATCTTGACAATGCAATGTATACAATAGGCGAACACAATTTATAAGCATGAATACAAATATTAGAAGAACCCATTAGGTGGTATATCATGCAATTACACACAATCCTTTGGTTTAGTTACTCAAATTATCAGCCAAATAAGTTTGTCATATCACAGGAAGAGAAACTGGACTAACAATTTTTTTTAATTTAGCTTCATTAAAAATAAATAAATTAACAAAATATAAGCAAATAATAATAAGAGTGTAGATATAACTGTTTTACTCATAAATTGGCTGCCTTTGAGGCTTAAACGGTTATTGAAATTTTCAGCAATGGATGTTTTTTTTTCAATGGAGACAAGGGAACTCCTGGATCGAGTATTGGGAGAAATGCGTCTTCGTGGAGGACTTTTTAATGGAACTAACCCGCGTTTGCGTTACATGGAGAGGAAGACCACGAGAACCTCCCACGGTTAGTCTGACGGCAAGGGGACTCTAATCCATGATCCATCTACCGCTGAGGAGAGTTCACGTCATCACTGTGGTCGGTGCAAGCCGGATGCGGAATTCGTATAGATCAGCCATCGCCGGAATCGAATCCCCGGTTCACCTCATTAGAAGGCGAACGCTCTATCTCCTGAGCCATCGCGGCTCAAATAAATAAATTAAGGAAATACAAACAAAAGATAATAATAGTGTATAATATGAGTGTAGATATAACTGTTTTACTAATAAATTTAACCAAATTGGCTGCCTTTGAGACGTAAGTGGTTATTGAAATTTTCAAGATTGCAATGGATGGTTAACCGTGTGCAAATAAGTGCAGATGGCGCTAGGGGTTAAAATTCGTCGCAAGACTACCGGGTTACTACTTCCGACCGATTTTTACGCCTAAGCTTGAAAAAACGCCCCGTCCAATATTATTATACTTGTAGTATTTTCAATATAGCGCTCAGTTAAACTTTCAACGAAACAAACAACAAATGAATTCAGAAGACTCCGCAAACTCTCTTATGAATGGGTAAAATTGAGCTTAAATTTAAACACAAATGAAACTTTCTAAAATATGAAGCTTGTTTACACAGCGCCTCGTAAGCGTAGGAATACACCGGAAGTTTTCTAAAGTTCTTCCGGTTTTATAGGCAGCTTACTATTGTTTACATTCAGTCAACTATCCATGGGGCCGCAAGTCAGAAAAGATTCAATCTCTTTACCTTTCAACAAGCTCTGTCTGCAGACGCTCCTCGCCAGTTGTTGAACATCGTTAAAATCCAAACTCTGTCATGGTTTCTGCAGGAATTTTCGCAAGCAGTCTTTTTAGATAAGGGCGTCAAAATAAATAAACAAAAATAGTGCGTGGTGTCCCTCCGAGCCGAAGAAGTTAAACTTCGCAACCTGCGACGTTAATTGCAGAAGAATCAGCAGTCATTGAAGGATCACTAGTTCTATTCAACGACTCTTTTTCCTGCTCCGCTCGCTTCCGTGCTCTGTAATCACGGTAATATTGTGCATTTTTCCCTCGTGNATAATAAAAAATTAGCTTGTAAAACTTTTTTTTCTTATTTGATGATAGTTCTCTACAGAATGGTTTCTTACGTCTGATTAAGAACTATAAGAATAATAAGAAAAGAAACTATATGAAAGTTTCTATTTCAATGTAAAGAATTCTTAAAATCGTTTTTTACAATTGTTATCCACTAAATTTGAAAATAAAAAATACTACCCGATTAAATTATATGTGTATCAAAACAAACTTAAAAAAAATATTTATGGAAAAACAATACTTTTATTATTTTTATGCTAGTGAGAAGCAAAACAATATGGAAATGAATGAGGGAAAACTGGATGATTTCCCGGCCAATAAAAATGTAGCGCTAAACGTTTAACGCAACCTTGTTGGAAGTCGCATAAGAAGTATAACTTCAACAAGAATGTTACAGCGCGACATTCTGAAATCTGTTTTCCTTCCAAAAAACATTTCGGCAGTGTGTCCAGCTCACGTAGCCAAAAAGTCACAAGAGAGGTGCTATGCAAACGCTTGATGAATGGTCAGATCTCAATGTCATGGATTAGAGTGTATGATTCATATTGGGATCCTGCACTAAATTCCACAAAAGTTTGGACTCTCTGAACCAATTACTCCCATGGGGAACGGCGAGAAGTCACAAACCAGCTTCGCGAATCGGCGGGCGTTGACTAGACCAGTCACTTCAGCGAGAATTGGATCGATTAAAAGTTGAAGGCTCGCGGCCCATTACTGAAAATGTCAATAAGCGCTTCGTCCATTAACTTTATTTATCAGAACCATGACATTATTGAAACCAATTAAATTTATTTTTTAGTAAAGGTCTACTCTTATTATTGTTTGTTATATTTTGTCAATTTATTTTATTTTAATAAAGTTAAATTAAAAATTATTTAATTATTTGTCCGTTTTTTGCCTCACGTTGTAATTAGTAGTATTCGAATATAATTGTTATAACCGAACTAAAGCATATAGTGCTATAGCATACGAAAAGCATACAAATTTTATTTTTTGATAAACAAGTGTATGATAAATTATCTGTATTTTTGTATGTGGCAATAGCAGATATTAATTTTTCTTTTACTTTTTTTTATATTATTTTGTTTATTGAATTGTTATTTAAAACAAAATATGTTGCGTTAAAACTCATTAAAACTTATCCTTGAAATTTTTTATTTATTTTTCCTTTAAACAAATATACAAATACAAATTTATGTACAAATTTACTTACAACTTAATTTACTTATTAAGTACACATTTAAACGAATATAGATATTAAATACAAATTTACTTACAACTTACTTTACTGATTAAATACAAATTTAAACATTTAAACGAATATAGATATTAAATACAAATTTACTTACAACTTACTTTAAATACACATTTAAACGAACATAGATATTAAGTACAAATTTACTTACAACTGACTTTACTTATCAAATACACATTTAAGCGAATATAGATATTAAATACAAAAATATTTTTTTTCTAAATAACTAAAGCCTGCATTCAATAAAATACGAAAAATGTGAAGTCAACAGATTCCTCTGAAAATAAGTATTCCAAAATTTTAAACTGGCCTATAAATAGGCCGAACAGCTTTCTGTGAATGATCATGTCTTTATTATTCTTTAATCTCTTCTTTTTAGGTTCTCGCCAAAGTAGTTTGGAAAGACTTATCGATTCTGGTCCGCTCACAAAAGCGGAAAGGAAGAAGTTAGAAAAATATCGCAAGTTCAATATTGACTTTCAAGGTAATTTTTTTCCTCGCCAAAAAATGCGCAGATAAACATTTAAAAAGACGTCTTTTGAAATAATTTAAGTTTTTTCATTCCGTGAACGATCTAGAAAATGACTATGTTGTTGATTTATATGTATGTATATACATATATATAAAGCTAAAATATTGAGAAAATATGGAAAATAATATATTCTGTTTTTTGCTTGACATGTTTTATTTCGTATATATTTTTTACTCAATGTGTTCTATTTTCGTTTCAATTTTTTGAGTGCTCCTCACACTATTGTATTGATATATTTAGCTTCCGGTATATTGATACAATATTAGAAAGCACTCCTTTTTGCGGATATAATCGTGTGAGCTGATGAGGAGATAATATTTTTTCTTTATTTTATTTTCCGGATGTTTAATAAGTTTTTTTAAGATAAATTTTAAAAAAATTTAATTTTTTTATAAATAATTTTAATTATTTTTCTCCTTTACCTGTCATTAATCTTTATTATTTTCCATATTTTCTCAAGCAGTTCAATTCAGAGCCATTGCATTCTCCTCTCTCAGAAAGCAATCCTTGAGATGTATTTCTTCATTTTACGAAACTGACGAAATTGAGTGATTTTTTTTTTTTTTTTTTTTTTTTTTTTTTTTTTTTTTTTTTTTTTTTTTTTTTNTCAAGCAGTTCAATTCAGAGCCATTTCACGATTCATTTCACGAAATTGACGAAATTAAGTGGGTTTTTTTTACGAAAGAGTGAATTCACTAATATTTGACGAAACTGCTCTTGTGCCATCACAGTGTCGTTTTGAATGTTCTACTATATTAAAACAATTTTTACTGTACAGGGGTAAAAGTCATTTCGCGTTCGCTTATCAAGCTAATTTCCTAGGTTCGATTCCAGAGCACTCAACCAACAACTGCTAGAAAAAAGAAGGCCTCCGCACTGGTTACCATAAACAAGAAATTTTATTCTTTAGTAGTGCAAACGTGATGACATCTTTTGTAACAACCACCACTGCTCAGCTTAGTAACCCGAAAGTGGTGACATCTTTTTTATTATTTTATATCCACTGTGCAGTTTATGTTCCTTTCGTCGGACTACTAAATTGATCAGTGCTGAGGTCTTCTTTCTTCTAGGAGGTGTTGACTCAACAACTCAGTAGATTTTCTATTTAAAGCAGCATTTCCAAACCAATTGCGGTAAGTTGCGTTAGGCCTAATGGCGAATTTCATATTCTATAACTACTAAAAATATTAATTGACGAAATACTCGCTCCAAAACTGTTTCGCCAAACTACTAAAGTACTAATTTCCTTAATTGGACGAAATATTCGCTCCGAAACTGTTTCATCAAACTAGTATAAATATTAATTTCCTAAATTGGACGAAATACTCGCTCCGAAACTGTTTCGTCAAACTAGTATAAATATTAATTTCCTTAATTGAACGAAATACTCACTCCAAAACTGTTTCGTCAAACTGCTAAAATATTAATTTCCTTAATTGGACGAAATACTGGCTCCAAAACTGTTTCGTCAAACTACTATAAATATTAATTTCCTTAATTGGACGAAATACTCGCTCCGAAACTGTTTCGTCAATAACGATAAATGCTTTATTTTCACAGAAGATCCTCAATTCGAGAAGTAACAATAACGAAGAGTTTAAGAGGGGGTGTGAAATAATAGTGTGCTTCTTTTGCAGCCCTGTGTGCCTCTGTTGAACATAAGCAGTTGGAGAGAGCGAAATCAATTTTAGAATCAACTGATGTTAACATAAACAGGTATTTAATTATTCATATTATTTCTCGCGGTTTGAACAACGAAAAATAATATTCAATCCAGTGATCTAAACATTTTATTATAATACCCTGAATAACTTTTGATCTAATGATCGCATTCTAGATCATTTGATCGAACTCTATATCATTTGATCCAAGCATTTTATTATACTACCCTGAATAACTTTTGATCTAATGATCGCATTCTAAATCATGTGATTTAACCGTTTTATTACAATACCCTAAATAACTTTTGAGCTAATGATTGCATTCTAGATCATTTGATTGCATTCTAGATCATGCGATCCAAACATTTTATTCTAATACCATGAATAACTTTTGATCTAATGATCGCATTCCAGATCATTTGATCGCATTCCAGATCATTTGATCGCATTCTAGATCATGTGATCTAAACATTTTATTATAATACCATGAATAACTTTTGATCTAATGATCGCATTCTAGATCATGTGATCGAAACATTTCATTATAATACCATGAATAACTTTTGATCTAATGATCGCATTCTAGATCATGTGATCGAAACATTTTATTATAATACTCTGAATAACTTTTGATTTAATGATCGCGTTCTAGGACTCTATCTTAACGGTTTAAAGAAGCGACCTCGAATATACTAATCTATTAGTGGAGACGATATTTTGAGTTGCGAAATCAGACACGAAAACGTATGAATGAATAATGATCTCTTTTTCGATGGACTCCTGACCCTCAAAATATGGGAGGTAGCCGCTATCTGCTCTCAATATACTGCTTAATAACTATTTATTATTTTATTTAATAATAGTCGAAAAACCTTTGAATTGAAAGTTATACCAATTTCTACATCATTTTAACGAATCTGGCAAAATTTTAATGAAATCGATCAAATAGCTCCTGAGAAATCGAATTTTAAGTATAAAACGCTTCTAAAATTCCATTTCTCAGAAACTGTTCGAATTTTGCATTGCGCGCTGTACATGAGTGTTTTAAATTGTCAAAGAAACATTTTTATATGCCTTAAGATTAAAATCAATAAAATATTACGGACATATAGTCTACGTACTCTTTCTTTGGAAGCGTCCCTTAATTCTCTTAAAAACAGTCATGAAATTGTTTTTAAAAATAAATTTCGTCCCGCAGTAGACTGATAGTTCCCAGCAGATCACCGAAGCCAAGCATCACTGGCAGCGGTCAGTATGCGGGTGGGTGACCACTTGGATCAGTCTGTGTAGGGTCAGAGGGTGTGCGGTATTGGTCCTCGTTAAACTATTCTACCGTAAAGTGCTGGACTTCGCGCGCAGGTCATCGGGCTACCAAAGCGGGGGTGTCATATCCTCTGCAGAGGATCAAAGTGGTGATGGCATGTCTTCGGATCATCCTCATGGATGTTTACCAAACCGTCGCCAATAGCCCATTGTGCAGCTCTAGTGCCACGTAAATGAACTACAACAACAACAACAAAAAATTTCTTTCTCAAGTCGTCAAAATATTATACTTGGCTTATATTAGAAAATTGCAGGGCTCGAAAAAACTCAGAAATNGGATCATTCTCAGGGATGTTTACCAAACCGTCGCCAATAGCTCATTGTGCAGCTCTAGTGCCACGTAAATTAACAACAACAACAACAACAAATTTTTTTCTCAAGTCGTCAAAAAATTATACTTGGCTTATATTAGAAAATTGCAGGGCTCGAAAAAACTCAGAAATTTTACCCGCCCCCGAGGACGGCTTGTCCAACAATGTACCCGTCCTCCTTTTAACCTAACCCGTCGCTTCTAATTAAATAAAAATATAATTTTCTCTTATTTATTACAAACATTTATATAAATTGCACAATGAATTAGTAGTTACTAGGATTACAAGTACTAGAATTACATTATACAGTAATAAAAGAAAAACTAGGTTACTAGTAGTAACTTAATATTTCGTTTATGAAATAATTTATTTCTTTTATGAAATAATTTAAATGACAAAGGTCAAGTTATCTGGAATGTCAATTAACAGGAAAATGGCTGTCCGCGCGGACGTCGCATTCGAGAAATTCGTTGTCTTCGGGGAATTTTTGACCGCCGAGGACGGGCCCTGGAAAATTGGCATCATTCTTTAATGCAACTGTGTTCTAAATGGTCCACCGTGGAAGGGGGGTATCAAGAGTAAGTATTTAACCAGGGTTTTTTTTAACCAGGTTTTTAAAAATTTGTCTGTAGAGTAAGATCCACTCAATAATTTAATATTTTGGTTGCTTTATGAAACTACTGAAAAGTAAAATGCCAATGAAAAAGAAATAGCATTTTACTTATAAGAAATATATTTTATATCCGTTGTTAAACAACCGACCCAATTTATTGAGTTTACGACTACTAATAATTCAACTCCGTAGTCTTGTAATTTAAAGTCAATCCAGAAACTCCTGGATCAAGGAGTGATAGAAATTTGCCTTCGGTCTTGCCTTAAGCCTTTTTGATGATATTAACCAGCATTTGCGTTACATGGAGAGTAAAAAAAAAAGGGAAAACCTCCTACGGTTAGCCTGATGACAAGGGGAGTCTAACCCTTGATCCATCTACCACTGAGGATATTTTTCGTCAGCACTGTGTGGTCGGTGCTAGCCGAGTGTGCAATTCGTATCGACCAACCATCTCTGGGATTCGAACCAGGTTTACCTCATTGGAATGCGTGCGCTCTATCCCCTGAGCCACCATGACTCACTCTAAATAATAAAGTATACAGAAGCATTACATTAGAAACACATAATGTTGTATCACTTATTTTAAAATTTTTCATCGAAAAATTTAAACGCTCAATAAAAAAATCAATATCTATCTTATTATAGAAAACGCTAATACGTATGTATGTATGTATCAATAAAACCGATGATATTTCTTTTCTCGCGCTGGCAACAGTTTAATGAAATAATGCTGATAGATCTAGTGCCAAAATCACTACTGAATTATTTTAAAACAAATATTTGCTAAATAAAAGTTCATGAAATGCATATAGAGATTGAAAAGTGAACAGTTAAAAATAAAATTCTGTACCCAATCCTGAAAGTAAAGTTGTAGAAACCAAGCGTTTTGTTAGATTTTATAATAATGTAAAATAACCGAATTCCCATCCAAAATAAATTTAGAACATTTCTATGAAGATTAATCATACATCAATGGAAATGACACAGAAAGCTTTTTAAACCGAAGTTCGAAGTTAGAAAGTAACATAATGCAGGAATGATGAA